GGCCTGCTCCAGGGTTGCATCGGATAGGGGTCCGGCTTTGGAGACAACCATGGTCGGACCTCCTATTGCTATCATCATATTCTTGGAATGTACGTTATAAATATGCGGACAAGGCATGCAGGAGAAGGCGCATTAATCAGTTTTGTTAAAGTCAAAGGAGGGTGTCTGATTATCAAGCATCATGTCTATCATCACACTACCTGCAACTGCTACATTTTCCAACCTCCAAACCACTAGCATGAAGACTTCCTCGGTCGAAGTTCATATGGAAGAAATTAAGTCTCTCGGTGAGGAGCCCAGCTTTGCCACTGGGTTGGGTCGTGCCGCCGCTCAAAACTCTGGGTACGGTCTGCATCAGGACAAGTACTGTAGTCCATTGATCTCCGAGCGTGCTATCGATCAGCCTAGGCCCCTTAAGGTCATCTACATTGGCGCCGGGATTTCAGGCATTATTGCAGGGATCCAATTCAGGAAGGCTGTTCCAGATCTGGACTTGGTAATTTATGAAAAGAATCCGGAGCTGGGGGGAACATGGTACGAGAATAAATATCCCGGTTGTGCGTGTGGTATGTAAGAACCTAGACCCTAACAGTGAACCCGTGGATGACCCCTAGCTGACCGTATCAATAGATGTTCCATCCCATTCCTATCAGTTAAGTTTCGAGTCATGGACTGGATGGAGCCACTTCTTCTCAGGCTCAGAGGAAATTCTTGAGTACTGGAAGAGAGTGGCCCAGAAATATAATGTTCGCAAGCACATCCGGTTCCAGAGCCGATGTGTAGGTGCACGGTGGAACGATGTGACAGGAAAGTGGTTTGTGCAGATCCATAATTTGGAGACAGATGAGGTCTTTGAGGATTCTGCAGATATTCTCATGACAGGGACTGGCCTCCTCAACGAATGGAAGTGGCCGTCCATTCCTGGGCTGCACAATTTCAACGGGCCGTTGCTCCACAGTGCCAGCTGGGATGAAACGTTTGATAGCAAGGTAGGCAGCTTCCTTGGCTTCCAAATCTACATTCCCTTCTTTCCCTCTTCATCTTGTCTTTAGCAATCCTTAACGACTCACTAACAGCTCGTCCATTTCCAGGACAAGCATGTTGCTGTCATCGGGGCCGGAAGTAGTGGTATTCAAATCGTCCCCGCCCTAGTTGATAAGGTCAAGGCTATGGACCATTACGTGCGCGGCAGAACATGGATTTCCAACCAGCACGGTGGAGATCGCCTGACCACACGGACCGAGGGCATGGGGGGAAATTTCAAGTATACAGAAGACGAGAAACAATCATGGCGAGAGGATCCCATCTCCTACACCCAATACCGCAAAAGTCTAGAGGTTGAGATACAGATGCTCTACGCCAAGTCGCAGCGAGGAAGTGATGTCCAGAAGGCTGTCACGGCGCAATATACGGCAGACATGCAGCGCAGGCTGGAAGCAAAACCTGAGCTTTTGGAGCAACTCCTGCCCGACTTTCCACCTCTCTGCAAGCGTTTGACCCCGGGGCCTGGCTATCTGGAAGCCCTGACCTCCCCCAAAGTTAATGTGATCGGAAGTGCAATCACTGGTGTTGATGAAACGGGGGTTATTACTGCCGACGGAAAGCACCGACCTATTGATGCAATTATCTGTGCAACAGGTTTTGAAACTAGCCCCGGAAGCGGTTTCCCAATCATTGGTAGGAATGGGGTCAATCTACGACAACGCTATGCTAGTCGCCCTGAGACATATCTTGGGCTCTGTACGGATGGCTTTCCCAACTTCTTCCAGTCGCTTGGGCCCAATTCTTTTCAAGGGGCAGGCAACCTACTCATTATGATTGAGCAGCTCCATATCTATGTCGCAGAGGTTATTTCTAGAATGAAGTACGACAATGTGGGACAAATTGAGCCCAAACAACATCAGGTTCAAAACTTTACTCGTTTCACTGAAAAGTACTTCGAGCGCACCGTTTACAGTGCCGAATGTGCCAGTTGGTACAAGTCGACAGCACCAGGGGCTACCCTAGAGGAACGAAAGAGAGGCCCAGTCACCGCTTTGTGGCCCGGAAGCAGCTTACACGCAGTAAAGGCACTGAAGCGTGTCCGATGGGAGGACTTTGAGACAAAGCCATGGGATGGGAATGAGTTTGGATGGTTCGGTAATGGTTGGACGATGGTAGAAAAAAGGCCACAGCATGAGGACAATGCGATGACCTGGTACTTGGATCAAACCGGATTTGTTGACAATGAGGAGTTGGAGGAACCTGTGAGATAGTCGCAATCTTTACCATTTAGACTGACAAAGCGTTCACATAGAAAGGCAGCCAGAGTAGTGTGGATTGTAGATTAGTAGGAGGCTTCAACTACGACGCAAATCATTCAGAACACTAACAACTAATGTTATCCTCTTGCCCATCCTGTGAACTGGAACTATCAGGAAATATTGCCCAGTCTAGCACATTAATTCCGTCCAACATATCTACCACTGTCATCAGCTGTGTCGGGATCAACTCTTGTTCCCAGTCATATGGCCCCACTGGCTCCGAACAACCGGTCATCAGACCAGTATTCACGTCCTGATTGTCCGGAGCACCTCTGGTCTGAAATGCCCCTTCTGCAAAAGCCGTTTCACTACTGTCCACGTGTTCTCGCGCCACGATTTCGACCTGTTCAAGCCGCGGCCAATGGCTGCCGTCGTTCATTTGTGCATGGGGACTTTTTAATAGACCTTCTAACTGTCCTAGTGCCATCTTGTGATCCACAGCTACGAGGTTTCCCTCACTGATCAGATGGTCTAGTATATCAAACAGTGTATCTCGTAGACGAGAGTGATCGTCGATTGAGTGCAGGCTGACGAGGGTGGACATATAGACCACTAGGCCAGCAGAGACGGCACTATCAAGATCGAACGGTAGAAACGTCTCTAAAGAAAAGAGGTCAAATGGGGCGTACATAGTAATGCCACTGAGAATAATCTTACCAAGTAAGCTCTGATCCTGAAGAGCACACAGTATGTCAATTGTTTTCTTGGCAGACTCGAGACACATTTGCAAGAGTAACTTTATAGCGGCTGGTATTGGGATCGCAATGCCCGAAGACCCAAGTTGCTTTTCGAGGAGACTGAAAAGAAATGGGCGAGTTGCTAACATGATGCACTACCGTTATACATCTAAGTTAGTGAAACTATACCCAGCAACAGGAGTGTGACAGTGTCCCACAGCAATCATACCTGTTGGTACACAAGATTCATATATCCCGCAACACGCGAAATACCATTCACTGATCCCTCACTGGGTACTGGAAAGTAGCCAGCGAGTTCTAGTGCGAGATTGGCAACACATCGCAGCACCCTTTGCGTGCTACTGACGAAATGAGAATCTATCTGACACTCTTTCTGATACAGAGCTGGATCAGTGTTAGTATTTGAAGCTTGATGTATACGAGGGCTAGGGATTCATACTATTCATCACTTGACCAAGTGCCTGAGATAACTTGACATGCATAGCCATCGTAGTGCTGCCGTGGGGAGAGTCTGGACAGTTCGGTAGCGGGGTGCTGATCTCGTCGTCGTTGATTCCCAAGGGCACCCCCATTAGAACTGTAAACTGACGCTCAATGATGAAAACCGTCCACCAAATATTCCGGGACCGTTGGGTCTCGTGTTCATCCAGAGTCCCTGAAGGGACGTTGGTGTGGTACCCATGAACAAGCAACATTCGCAGCGCCCTCCCAATCTGTGCCGTCTCGGTCAGTACTATTGAACTATAGATCTCCACACCACGATCTTGATCTCTCGTTAAAAGAGGGATAGGAATAAAACCAACCATGTCATGCGCAGAGGTTCTCCAATCAATGGACTGCAGATACAGGGCCATTGAGCAAAGTAACTCCGCTGATGTGCTTGGATGTCTCCACAGATAACAGTAGTCTGGGAGCATCGTAAGAGCCATCATGAACAGACTGGCGCCTGGTGGAACACTGTCTCGACGCTTCGTCCCGGTGAAGGCTTTCCCGAGAGCCATTATGACACTGAAGTGGATGAACCATAACCCCGTTGTGTGAATCTTCTGGACTGGGTTTCCGTAGAAGTCGTGCAACCGAGTCAGAAAAGATAGTTCATCGAAAAGATGAAATATGTGACCAGTATGGAACTTCACAGCATTAGTCAGGAAAAGAGCATAGTCTAGCGACGGAAGCTCTCTAATATCCGGCATGATAGTTGCCCGCAGGCCGCTCCATCCTAACTCATAGGTTGTGGCATCTATATGCTGAGCTGCACTGGGGAAGGGGCAGTTCCGCCCAGCCTGATGGGTGAGGGTGAGGTGCAGCAGGCGGATTGTCAACGACCAGTTCGATGTGTGTCCCAAGTAATCTAAGTGCCCAGTCAACTGGTTGGCTACCATCCTCAAAGAAGGCCTGAACTTACGCGGATTTCCCGCCAAATCTCGCACGTATTTGGGCTGCCCTGTGGATAATGGGTTGAATACTTTTGCATCTTCAAACCCGGGTCCGGAGACTGGGGAGGCATAGCCATTGCAGGTATTTGCCTCTTCATTCACCAAGCCTCCATGATCAACGAGATCCATAGACAGGGTCCTTTTAGAACTGCTCGATAGCCGTTGCTGCAAGTCTCGGTTCTCCTTCTCGAGTTCAGCCGTCCTGCGTCTCAATTCCGCGAAGTGCCTTTTCGTAATCTGGATCTTATTTTCGTCGCCTTCGAATATGCACTTTGCTTTACGGCGTTTGCAATTCCTACACGGAGACTCGCCACTACACTTTATCTTGTGTTGACGACACCGCAGGCAGCTTAGCCGCGTTTTATGAGAGTTAGTAAAGAAATCGTACAAGAGTAACATCGGCAACGTTCGACGTTCGAAACATGTGGAGCTGGGGACGGAGAAACGTACGCGTTGACTGCACGTCCCTTCGGGGGATTACTCAATATCTTCTCCATGCAGGGCGAGAATCGCTATTTTTAGAGGTGCAAATTGAATAGGAATAACAGTATTGGGCTTCTATCCAAGTTTATGGCGTTGGAGTTATCCGCATGGACGGACATAGGCAAATTTAAAGGCGCAACCCCGCAGCGAAGTTGACTAGTCTTCTGAGCACCGGACCGTACATCCGACATTATAGCCCACTAAAACAAAGTCTACGAGCACTTCGATGCCTACTGCGCTTGTTTGGCTGGATGGGAAGTGCCGCGGAAACTTGCCTGGCCAGTGTGTGGACCCAATAAGGCCATTGGGCTGTCTTGTTCATGCTCTGCTGTTCAGCCAGTTCCTCGTACACCACTCAATTCGGAACTACGGCTAAGCAATACGTTGCATTACGGTAGAGACATCAATTACTTTCTTGATTCCTGTGAGATACACAATGCTATTCAGCTGTTAGGAGCACCTCAATACCATCTATATCAACATACAATCCCTGAGCCATGTACTTTAGAGATGAGCCTTGGGCACAGCATCACTTCCACGCCAAGTCTTGCAAAGCCCTTTATCTGATAGCCCAAGGACAGGGTCATATCTTGGTTTTGGAACAGCCCACACTTTTTCAAACTCGCCTCCCGTCGCGATAAAGTCCCAGTCACCTCCGTTGTAAGCTCCCATCATGGTAAACCCATCCAACCTGATCTCTGATAACGCTTTCTTTGGGTTCTCGGACTCAATACCATGTCCTTTTCCAGGTGACAAGAGCGCGAACTCGGCTGCGGGCTTGGTATTGTGTGTTTTGTGAGCTACACCAGCTGGAATAATAAAGACATCTCCGGCTTCAGCCTCCAGTAGAAGACCACCTTCCTCCCAAGCGAAGCCGTGTGTATTCTGTTGCATATCTGGCGACATATCGGCAACACCAAACCGTATACTAGCCGTACCGGAAAGCACCGCCATACACTCGTGGGCCTTGGAATGGTAGTGGGATAGTTGCGTAGGGCCGTAACGGAATATCCAGTGAACATTCCATTCATTCTTAGTAAACATATCCCAAACCTCTCCCGGGTCACATTGCGCGCTGTCGGGTCGCTTGGCTAAAACATTCTTGTAGTGTAGGAGAGGTCTGGGCGAGTTGGGGATATGATATGTGGGAGAAAGATGATACTGCCTCACTTCAACAACCATTTTGATATTTTTGTTTGTTTAATCGGTTATGGAGAGTGATGATGTTGGCCTTTGATCGGCGTTGCGTGTATCTGGTGGGTTCAAGTGATCTAGAAGGGGCAATTATGAGATTGCTGTGGATTGTCGCGACTCGCCACTGATATACTAACAGATCTGGCCCGGAATCCTTACCCGGGTGGCATCAGCTTTCCAGATTGAATGGAATCCAATACAATGCTACCAAAATCTCCGGCCCGAGGGTCATTTGCTATGCACTCGACAAAACCTCCAATAGAAATCATATTTGGCCATGAAAAGAACATTGCACAGGTAAGCGGACAGGATACACTAGTGGAGAGCGGCGTCGGTCATCCGTTCCGACTGTCGGGTGGCGACACCGACATACTCATCCACTGCACCGATAACCCTCACTGTCCCTCACATTACTAGCAGGCCGAGGTAGCAATGTCGACCGTTTGGATTTTCTTAACCATCTCATTCTATATATTGGGCCATTCCTGTCGCTTAGAATGGGTTACCTACAGACGACATGCCTTCCCTCGAGCAGACTAAACTTGCCTTCATAGGGGGCGGCAACATGGCCATCGCCATCATCGGTGGTCTCATCGCCCAGGGCGTTCCCAAACAGGGCATCTGGGTTGCTGAACCCTGCGAGGTCAACCGCAACAGGATGGCCACCCTGGGCGTGCATACGACAACCTCCAACGTCGAGGCGGGCGGCCACGCCGACCTGGTTATCATTGCCGTCAAGCCCCAGGTTGCCAAGACAGTCTGCGAAGAGCTGGTCGCTGCCTGGTTGCAGCGTGATACCCTTCCACTTGTTATAAGTATCGCCGCCGGAATTACGCTAGAGACCTTGAAGGGGTGTCTACAGACAAATGACCGTCGTGTGGCGCATTGCGTTCGTGTTATGCCAAATACCCCTGCACTGCTAAGACAGGGCGCTTGTGGCGTATTTGCCAGTGCCGATGTTACAGAGCCGGAGAAAGAGCTGGTCAATACATTGCTGGGGAGTGTTAATCAAGTGACGGAGTGGGTGGATAAGGAGGAGTTGCTTGACGTAGTGACTGGGCTGTCTGGTATGTTTTGCCGTACAGTTTCCCTCCCCTTTTGTTTCGTTTTGAATTCCAGTTCTATTGTAGACGTGGAACAGGCTGATTGCTATGTAGGATCCGGTCCTGCTTACTTCTTTGCCATGGTCGAACATCTGGTCGCCAGTGCCACCACCCTGGGTCTGCAGCAGGAGCAAGCAGTCCGACTGGCTACTCAGACATGTTTAGGTGCCGGTACGATGCTCGTCGCATCGTCCAATCGCCCGGCCCAGCTGCGCAAGAATGTCACCAGCCCAAATGGAACCACACATGCTGCTCTGCAGACCTTTGAGGCACTGGGGTTCAAAGATATAGTGGACAAGGCAGTGACGGCCGCGACGAACCGTGCAGCGGAAATAGGCATCACCCTTGGGAAGCAATAAATGTTACATGTCATAGTGTGATGGAGCGAGACAAAAATATTCCAAAACTATGTGCGTCAAAATGTGAAATTAGCCACAATTATTTGTTTATTGAGCCGAGGAATATTCCAGTGTTCATCCAAAAAACCATTGTTCATTAGCTCGTAGATAGACCACTTGTCTTGGAAATGAAATATGGCAGTTTGCCAAGCAGTTGATAGACAATGGGCAACAAATGCCATATACAGCTCAACTGTCGGCCTCCCATGTCATAATCGCATTCACAGTCAATCCAGATTGCATTGCACATGTAGGAGGGAGCACAGTTTGTGCACATTCCAAAGAACGGCGAGGTGGTGCAGTTTGCCACTAATGTCTGGAGCACATCCTCGTGTCCTTTAAATATGTCACATTGTTCATTTGAACCTCCTCCTAGGGAACAATGTGCTCCTTGGGTTCGCTCAGACTATCCGACACTGGGTAAGTAGTCTATGTAAAGGAAGTTCCCTTCACGGCAACTATATTCCTGATTCCTACCGAACGCGCTCTCATTCCTTATGTACGCTAGGAACGAGATTGGAAAGGCAAGCGTATCCCTGCATAGGTCCCACAAAGACCACCTAAACAGATTGTTGTGCACCAACGCTGTCGACGGCATACGGACCCGAAGCGGAATATCCACCTCTATCAGGAACTCAATCATGGCGCCTCTTGTATGCGGGCTTGTGGCCTTTCCTCGACCACCAGTCACACAACCGAAAGTCTGCCTAAGTCGGCTGTCATTGTATCCCCTTTCATGCCGCATTATCCATGACACCTGCATTTCCGCCTGGCGTCGGAAGCATTCCCCTGGAACACACGCTGGTCCCTGGGGTCATGCCACACGACCTTATCTTCTGGTCGGCATACGGTCAAGTGGCTTACCAGCCGTTATCGCGAATGAAGTCCATTATGGATGGGTTAGAAACTTAGAGTCCCAGCCGACGTATTCAAACATGAAGTTGGAAGGAGGCATTTGGCGCAAAGATACGCAGACAATCTCTCGGCCCGGCGAAGAAATGCGGAGAACAACCGGTTGACTCCACATTGAGGGGTCCAAGTGCGCCTCGTAGGCTGGACCCTCAAGTAAATCTTTCTATTGCACAGCGAGACTTACAGTGTGGAGACATACACTTGGCTTGCCTTCAGTCGGTCCGAGAAGTTTGAATAGACAATCGATAGAAAAAGTATACTCGGCTGAATCCACGTTATTCCAAGAACCGTCCACATAAGATTAAAAGTCGACGTTTCTTTGTAATTCCAACTAGGCCAACTAGAAGCTACATGCAAACCTCGTCTGGAAAGTCTCAGGACTCGATGTGCCCTCTAGGTCATGTATTAGTGGCGCGTAGTTGCTTGAAAAAAAATGATAGACCTTCCTTGACATTTCCGCAACTACTTAACTGGAGGGGAGGCTAGCATAACTCTGGACTCAAGCCAAAGTGCCTTGACCAGCAGTTGACATCTGCTGTTCCCGCTTTGGTAGATCAGCGTTAGCATCAGGACCAAGGCAAAAGGCAATCAGTTTAGACGGCAGACTGCTTCAATAGAGTTCTAGAATAGAATTGATTGTCCCACTTGATAAGGTTCCCCACACTCCTCCATATACCTTTGATGTAGGTCCATGTGGTTCGGACCGAGCAGATAAGCTTCCATCTCCATAGCTTTCCTCAGACACTGAGAACATATAAACATTGCATTACCCTTATTTGCCCTCTCGGCTTCATGCAAAATCTATAGTTCTTCATTCGGACTCGAGACGCTACGTCATCATGAATGTAACCGAGAAGTACACTGCTCAAGGTGGAGACGGCATTGATGATGGGGCTTGCCACGATTTAACCCCTAGTGAGTGTCACAAGCCTGGTGTTCAGACACCTCAAGATCTGTTCAATCATGAACGGGGAGATGTCGACTTCTGTGGCGTCTCATGGCAAGGAGCCGCCGTCCTCATTACCAAGTTTCAGATTGGACTCGGTGCTCTTAGCCTTCCATCCACTTTCCACGTCCTGGGATTCTTTCCGGGCATCTTGTGTTTCATAATCCTAGCCCTGACAACATCGGTGGCTGGCTACGTGTGTGGTAACGCTCGGCAATACTACCCTCACATGTATAGCATCGGTGACGCGGCCGAGCTGCTCTTTGGAAAAGGCGCACGAGAGCTAACTGGTGCAATATATTATATCTATCTTGCCCTGGTAGCGGGAGCAGGAATGCTTACCACTTCTGTCGCACTCAACACATTGTCTGATCATGGTACTTGCTCCATGGTCTTCGTCGGTGTCACTTGCGCTGGCGCCTTTGTCATTGGAACGGGATTCAGGTCTCTAGAAAAGGTATCCTGGCTCAGTTGGATTGGCGTTGCTGGTATTGTCGTTGCC